CCTACAAAACCTTTGCCCGTGTTCACCACACAATCGTTGTTCCACAAACCGCCGGTCACAAGGCAAAATGAGACAAGTGTAAAACTTAAAATTGCCTCATCGTCGTCATCGTCATCGGACTCATCCTCAAAGACTGCGTCTTCCTCGTCGTCATCGTCTTCATCATCGTCATCGACGACAACAACAACAACTTCAAGTTCATCATCGTCGTCGTCATCGTTAACGTCGACCACAACAACAACCACCACCACAACTACTTCAAGTTCCAAAACAAAAAAGAAAAAAATCAACAAAAATGCCCTGACCCGTAATCCGAGTAGTAATAAAAAATATGCCGATCCAAGTAGGGAAAACTTTTCTTCTAAAGAAAATCGAACGTCAAAGGAACCTGGAGAAAAAACAAAATAATAATGAAAAATGCCAATGCATTTAATCTTCTTTTGATTTAAAAAACATTTATAAAAACTGTTATACATCCCTTTTATAATTTGAAACTTTGTTCTAAATCATTTTTTTTTCGATTTATATCCTAAAACGTTACGATTCCAGTTTCACATTTTCCTGCAATTTTCATTAATTTTCTTCCGATTTATACCTACAAGGCATTCTATTTTTACCTGTTTCTTGAAAAAAAATATACAGGTATTATAAAAGTTTGTATAACAGTTTTCTCAAACTGTTATACTCGCAGAAAGTTTCAAATATTCATTGGAAAATCCTGGAAACGTATTAAATTCGATTTTGGATGTACTTAAGCATTATAAAACTTTGTATAACAGTTTTGTAAAAAATCATTGGAAACCCAATCAATTCGATTTTCAGAGTATTTAAGTATTATAATAGTTTGTATAACAGTTTTGTGAAACTGTTATACACGCATAAAAACTGCAGAAATTCAATGGAAATTCATGGGAATACGTTTAAATTGATTTTGAATGTATTTAAGCATTATAAGAGCTTGTATAACAGTTTCGAAAAAACTATACAGGACATGTCTAATTTGTAATACTCGGCGTTGCTAAAATTTAATAATAATGACAAAACAGAATATGTTGTTATTATTTGTTTTTTTTTTTGGTATTTTAAAAATTTGTATAACAGTTTTCTCAAACTGTTATACTCGCAGAAAGTTTCAAATATTCATTGGAAAATCCTGGAAACGTATTAAAATCGATTTTGGGTGTATTGAAGCATTATAACACTTTGTATAACAGTTTTGTGAGACTGTTATACACGCAAAAAACTACAGAAATTCAATGGAAATTCATGAAAACAGGTTAAAATTGATTTTTAATGTATTTTAATATTATAACACTTTGTATAACAGTTTTGTGAAACTGTTATACTCGTAGAAAACTGCAGAAATTCATTGGAAAACCATGGAAACACATTGAAGACGTTTTTGGATGTATTTGAACATTATAACAGTTTCGAAAATCTGTTATACACGAAATAAATTTTCAAAATTTCCTGGAAAATCATATAAAATACTTAAAAATAAACACGTTGTTGTTGTATTATTTCATCATAATTGTAACACTGCTGTATTCTATGGAGAACAATTTTCTTCGAATTTAAATTTCAAATGCTATTGAGCTTTTTTTCGTATTTATCCCATATTGTAATCTGCTATTGATATGAAATGGATGGGAGAAATTCCTGGAATATAAATATTCTATTTTCATTCTAATTCCCAAAATTGTGAATAAAAAAATCTAGTAGGAATTTAATTTAACACCTTTTCTGTAAAGATTCGATAAATTCTCCGATTTTTTGAGCCATTACTTTGTTATGAGTGTGTATGTATGTTGTTTAAACATGTGAACGAACATCACAGTAGTTTTAATTATATTTTTTTATTTTTATTTTTGAAAATAGCAACTCACGCCCCTTCATTTAGCAGCCACCAAAGTCAGACAATGAAAACAATTTTGCTAGCCAATTGGTTGGGTTTTTTTAGTTTCCTTAAAAAAAGACTAACGTTCTTTTCTCAATTTTTTTTCCTAAAATTGTTTATGCCAAATTTAATTATAATTAATTTCCTAAAAGAACGGCAATATAAAAAATAGTTCACCAGGTTTATTTCTGTGTTCTCTAAGCAAGAATGAGATAGAAAGGTGATATTTCTTTTTTTCTGCTGCTCCCTCTATTCACTTTAACTGTGTGTGAACACCTGTCGGGTTAAAGTGAAAATGTTGGGGAGGAAAATAAAAAAGCCAAAGAAAAATAAGAAAAAGTGGCAGAAAATGTCATTGTGTGTCGTAGAGTGAATCTGATTAGAAAGAAAATCTAATTACAGAAACCATGTACTCTCTTTGAACTCAGTTACATTGCTACAATAATGCAGGGACTTAATTCCCTCCCAGTAATCATGGCATTTATTATCAATTATTAAAATTCATTGCCATTTTTTCAATTTAATTTCTTGTTTTTTTTTTCAAAAAAAATCTTTTCGATTAGATTTTAAGTACCCCTTAAGTAGATTTTTGCATTCTCTTCTTTTTTTCGATTTTCTTATCACATAATATTTTTGTATTCTTTTGTTCTAGCACATTAGCCCACAAAAAAGAGGTAAAACAAAAACTTTATCTACAATTGTTGGCATTAATTTTTTACGTCGAATTATTCAAAACAAACAGAAAATTTATTTTAACCTAACAAATAACAATGGATTTAAATATATTAAATCAAACAGTTAATATAAGTGTTGTGCAAGGTTTATCTGGATTTTTTTCCGTTTAAAACTCCCCACGGCGGGCTCCTTTGACGTTCAAATTAAAATAAAACAAATCTCTCACCCATGAGTTTCGAAATAAATTTGTGTATTGAATTCATCCTAGGCATGAAACAATTAATTGGTAAACTAAATGATTTATGGCCCGAACACAGTGTGGCCCTTTCCATTCCAAAGGAAATCGACAAGACAAAAGAGAAAATCCAGGGTGTGGAAGAAGTGGAAGGTAAATAATTGCAATTTTTTTTTTTGAATATGCATCAAAATGCAGGGCCTCAATTCTTGTTATATGTTAAATGAAAACTTTTATAAAGGAAAGAAATGTCAAATGAAAAAAATTATAAAGGAAATATTTTTCATTTCATATTTTTATAGAACAAAAATCCAGCCCTAGATCTCTAAGTATGAAAATGAAACCTATACATGAAAAACAAATACAAAAGAAAAATCCTACACATAAATTATTCAGAAACCTATAAAGAAAATTTCTTAAAATAAACTTAAAATTTAAAAATAAAAAATTTAAAAGATAGTAAAACAAGGTCCTATGGAATTATCAAAATCTTCGATTACTAATGACATATTTCAAGAGTTTATATTTTTTTTTTTTGTATATTGTAATAAAAAAGTAATTTTTTTATTTTTAATTATAAAAAAGTAATTTTTAATTTTTTCCAAATTATTTTTTTTATTATTTATTATGTTTCCCTATGGTATATCTCTTAAGTAATACAAGTGCAATAGTTTAATTCGATGCCAATGAGATTTGAACCGCGCGAAATTGTAATTTTTCATACTTTTTCGCGGTATAACAGTTTGTATAACAGTTTTGTGAAACTGTTATACACCTTGAAAATGTGGAATTTTATTTGAAATCCATATATAGAGACTTTGGAAAGATGATTTTCCAGTATAACAGTTGTATAACAGTTTTGTAAAACTGTTATACACCTCGGAAATGTAGAATTTTTTGCGAAATACAAATATAGAGGCTTTATAAAGATGATTTTTTTCATATAACAGTTTGTATAACAGTGTTAAAAACTGTTATACACTCTAAAAAAACACTATTGTAACCCTACAAAAAGGCTAAATGTTTTGACTTGAGCAATATTTTTGGTAGAAATAAAGTTGTTCGAAAAAAAATAATTTAAAGTAGCCAGATCTACTGGCGTGAACATATTCATCGTAGGAATGAATTTGTTCCTAAAATACATGAAATAATTCATAATTTTATTTCTGTAAGAAAAATGTGAAACGAAGGAATGTCACTCTTCATACATTTAGGGATATTTTAAGGGATCGGTTGTTAAATGTTGAGATTGTCATTCCCATAGTGTTAATATTCTCAAGAAATGTTTCTTGCTAATTTATGAATATTTTTCTTATTTTTTATGAATAAAGTTCTTATTATATATCTGTGTTATAATAAAGTATAACAGTTTAATTCCAAGCTGAAGAGTTTTAAACCACGTATAAAAAATAATTTTCATCTTTTTCAGTTCGTATAACAGTTTGTATAACAGTTTTGTGAAACTGTTATACTCCTCAAAGATGTGGAATTTTAGTTGAAATCCATATATAGAGACTTTGGGAAGACGTTTATCCAATATAACAGTTGTATAACAGTTTTGCAAAACTGTTATACACCTCGAAAATGTAGAATTTTATGCGAAATCCAAAAAAGGAGGCTTTATAAAGATTTTTAATATGTAGAATTTTATTTGTAATTGATGTATATAGACTTTAGAAAGATGATTTTCCAATATAACAGTTGTATAAAAGTTTTTTTTTAAAACTGTTATGCACCTCGGAATTGTAGAATTTCATGCGAAATCCAATTATTGAGGCTTTATAAAAATGTTTAAAATGTAGAATTTTATTTGTAATTGATTTATATAGACTTTGGAAAGATATTTTTCCAATATAACAGTTGTAGAACAGTTTTGCAAAACTGTAATACACCATGGAAATGTAAAATTTTATACGAAATCCAAATATAGAGGCTTTATAAAAGATTTTTTTATATAACAGTTGTATAACAGTTTTTTTAAAACTGTTATACAACCTAGAAACTTTCAAAATTTATTCCAATGGTCATAATATAAGTATAACACTAATAAAATAATATTTATTTTTACCTTCACACCCAACAAGAACAACAACAACAGCAATGAAATTTTCTTTATTTTTTTGTAGCAACTTTTTTTGAAGCAACTTTTTTAAACCTTTTCTAATTCCCTTTCTTTTTTCTTTCTCCTAACAGGCAGAGATGGTTCAAAAATTACCACAGTTGTTGCCACTCCGGGCCAAGGTACCGATCGTGTACAAGAAGTTTCCTACACAGATACAAAGGTGATTGGCAATGGCAGCTTTGGCGTTGTCTTTCAGGCCAAATTATGCGATACCGGAGAACTGGTGGCAATTAAAAAAGTTTTACAAGACAGACGATTTAAGGTAAGAGTAACTTCTTAAAATTTGAAACTTTAATTTTTAATTTGACATTTTTTTATTTCTCTTGCAGAATCGTGAATTGCAGATTATGCGCAAATTGGAACATTGTAATATTGTAAAACTTTTGTATTTCTTCTATTCGAGTGGTGAAAAGGTAAGTTTTGTTGTTGTTGTTGTTAGATATAGCAAACAGATTTTTTGGTATGGCTAAAATATACACCCACCCAAACTAATAACCACATGAGCCAAAAAAAAGAAGCTAATCATGCAAACAATTGTCCGTTGTTTTGTGTCGTCTGATGTTTAATGGAGAAGAAGATGATGAAGATGTCTGTCTTAACATAATTTCGCATGCTTTTTTTTAAGTCTCAATATATTGTTTTGTATTTGTTTTTGGTTTTAATATAGGACAACCACATAACTCTACCTCTCTTAATTTCCCAATTTTTTTCCATATTCCAAAACAAAAAAGAAAATGAAACAGAATTATTTGATGGGGGACATGAAAACTTTTTCCGTTTGTTTTTCCTTTTTCTTCTTTCACTACATTTACCAAAAATCCTATTTGTTTTCCGTTTCCTTTTGTTTCTTTTCCATTTTCTTTTTGTGTCAAATTTTGTGTTTAATATTTTATTTTTCTGATTTATGTATTAACCACAAAAAAAAAAAAACAATCAACTTTTCGAATGTGTGATGCGTGGTCCAACACCATGGTCATCTCTCCACCGCCAAAAAACCAAATCAACTGAAAAAAAACCTGTGATGAAATTGTTTTGTAAATGTTCAAATTGAAACTTCAACAAAATAACACAATCCCATCACCAATACTTACAAAACAAACAAAAAAAACAATTGACAAACAATTTCCGTAACAAAACTTCCAACTCCCCTCCAAAAAAAAAAAAAAAAAACAAAAAAATAACAAAAAAAAAGTTAGCGGAATTTCCCATTGATGTGGGGATATTAGCTTCGGTTCTCAAGCCTCAGGTAGCTATAAAGCCTTTACTTATTTGTTTAAGTAAAACAAAAAAACACACACACAAAAATCAAATCCCCCCAAGCAGCTCATCAATTTCAGCAATCACAAATGAAATCGAAAAAAAAAAAACAAATTTCGATTTCAAAAACTTATTATTCTTTCATATCAATTCCGAAAAAGCAAAAAAATCGTCATTCTCTCTGTGTATAATGCTCCAAAAAACAATTTTGTTTATAACCTCCAATGTTGTTGTGTGTCGTTAGTATGCCCGCCAGTTTAGTTGTCCACTGAGACATGGACTGAGAAAAGCTCGCTAAAAAAATCCACAAAAATTTTCACCACAACAGCATAGCAGCGCCTTATTTGTTTATGTAAATGGCTTATTTTTAAATTTCCCAAAAGAATTTTACCATTCATTTATTCCTGATTCCAAATTCTTCCCACACAGATCGATCTTTGTTTTATAAATGTTACGCGGCAACATTTTCATCATTGAAATGCTATAAAATTTAATATTTTCTTTTTTTAATACTTTTGTTTTAATTTTTTGTAGTTCCGCTCCTTGGCATGACATTTTTACTCTTTCAGCATGTTTTTGTGAAAATTTTCCTTGGAAAGATATCATGTGGCAGTAGGGCAAACATAGATGTATGTTTTTAGAAAATTGTACCTCATGGCTTGTTCAGGGACCCGGAGGTCCAACGTCCTCTATAATGTAAACATACTTGCAAAATATAAAAATGCTGTCGAATGTTTCTTGACATGGTCTCGAAATGTTTTTCTTTTGATACGTGTACCCTCTTATGCCAAAATCAAATGGATTTAGTTTGAAGTTATTCTCCTCAAATGCCTCCTGAAAAACAGTTTTTTCAATAATATGTTTTCCACCCTTTTGTTAAAAGTGTCTTGTCCTTGGAATTACGAACTATTGCTACTGCTCTTTGAAAATTTCCATCATTATTAATGCGCTCCGTAAAATAGGCAACACTTTTTCTAATATTCCACTTTTAAACAGATTCAAGCATTAAAATTTATAAATAGCAATTTATAAACATTAGTCGATAAACAGAGGTTTTATATTTGCTATAATAGACTAAGTATGTGGACTACTCCGCAGATGAAATGTGGAGTGGCAGTTATACTGGTTAAGTCTCTTTTAAATGCCTTTAAATGGATTTATATAAAGTCAGGTCACAAAGACTTTTCATAAGAATCACAAAGTTCTAGGAAAGTAAAATGCTTTTATTTGGTCCAAGTCCAAGATGTTTTCTCTCCATGAAACTCTCCTCCTAACAAAAATCTTTCTACATAAACATCAAATAAAACTTCTCAAGAGCTGGCCCTAGAAAAATGGCTAATATCAGAAGTTATTTTTTTATAGACCCCAATGCATCTATAAAGAATTAAATAGTAGTCCTCCTAGAACACCAATCCCTCTTTCCAAATGGGTTAATCTAAAAAAGGCCCAATATTCTCAAACCAAGACTAAAAGACAGAAGCGCATTTGAAAAATGAAAAAAGACAAGAGAGTCCTAGAAAAATTACTTATATCAGAAGTTATTTTTCTGCAGATCTTTTTCGAATAAGATCCCAATGTCTCTATAAAGATTTAAAAAGTAGCACTCCTATAACACCAATCCCTTTTTCCAAATGGTCCAATATGCTCAAACCAAGACTAGAAGACAAAGGGCACTTGAAAATGAGACCACCAAGGCAAAGACAAGAGGTCATAAAATTGCAAAACATCATCTTTGCCGGAAACGAAAATGCCTTTCCATAAACAAAATAACCTGGTTCCTTTTAAACAAAACCAATATTCTTACCCTAAAAGATCGAAAATGTTCCCTTAAGGTATTTCCCACAAAGAGGTCATTAGAATTTCCCCTTCCAATTTTGGCCCATTCCCGTCGAAGCGCTTTGCTTGAGGTGATCGACACTTTGGTATTAGTGCCAACCTTGCTTTCCAAAATACTCCACACACAATAGTCCAACGAATTGGTATCCGGATATTTTGGTGGCCATTGTGCGCTGGAAATGAAGCGAGGAAGTTAATTTTGTAACCATTCTTGAGAGGCGCGTGCTGAATGCGATGGTGCTGAGTCCTGGTGGAATGTCCAAGGTCTGCGGCCAAAATGTTTGCGTGCCCCATGCTTTAATACACCCTTCAGAATTTCGCAATAATATTCGACATTTATTCTGATGCCACGGTCGATTAATACTAGCGGAGACCATCGGCTGTTATGGTGCTTGAGTTCTGGTGGCCAAGCGAAGGTGCACATTTTCAGCTGACCTCTTTCGCTGGACAACGAATGTTTTCTCATCGGAGAAAACCAAATTTGGCAGTTCACCACTTTCGGCCAAGCGAAGCAACTCTTTAGCTCTTTTGAGTCTATTTTCCTTCTGTTGTGGTGTAAGTTCTTGCACTTTTTGGATTTTCAATGGTTTTACACCGTGCTCATTTTTCAATATTTACCGAATGGAATATTATGATATGTCCAGCTCACGAGCCATTTTTTGGCCACTGGAACGCGGGTTTCGATTTCTTAGAATGTTAAATTTTTTATAGGAAATAGAAACACCAACAAAGCAACGAAGACTTTTTCAAACTACACTATGTTATTGAAAATCAGGATTACTTAGTTTAATCGCTGCCTGTTTTTTCTGTGAAATCCGGTCATTTTTTATAAAAATCGCCATCAATATTCTGCTCTTTAAGAAGATTTAAGTCCCTTCTTTTCTTAAATAAAAATATTGACCATTTCACATTAAAGGCCAGGACATCTCTTTCATAAAATGATTTGACAATTCAATATAACTTAGCTTATGCCTAAAAGTAGGCAACGAAGTATGTGCGCTTAAGCCCATTCAATTGAAGTTGATTGAACAATTTGAGGAGCTGAAGTCCATATAAACCTTTCCCTTATAATATATTAAATTGTTCTTTTGAGGATATAAACATTTTTTTAATAAATTAAGCATTCAACCATACATTATTTGTTTAAAATAAATTTACTATGTAAAGCTATTGGCATGTCAAATAAATGTCTTTTTTTAACTTCTTTTTTATTATTTAGTTCGTTTTTTTTTTAATTCATATTCATTGCCTTTTTGTTTTCAATTTATTTAAATAACTATTTTATTTATCGCTAATATTTTATTCACAATTTTTTTTCTCTCTTATTCTAGCGAGATGAAGTGTTCTTGAATTTAGTACTCGAATATATACCAGAAACTGTTTATAAAGTGGCGCGTCAATATGCTAAAACTAAGCAAACAATACCCATTAACTTTATAAGGGTAAGTCGGAATATTATTTTGTTGATATTTGTTTTATAACATTTTCGTAACATTTTCGTAACATTTTCGTTTTTTGTTTCCTTTCCAGCTTTACATGTATCAACTGTTCAGAAGTTTGGCTTACATACATTCATTGGGTATTTGTCATCGTGATATTAAACCACAAAATTTGCTATTGGATCCAGAGACCGCTGTATTGAAATTATGCGATTTTGGCAGTGCTAAACAATTGTTGCACGGCGAACCAAATGTTTCATATATTTGTTCACGATACTATCGTGCACCCGAATTGATATTTGGCGCCATCAATTATACCACAAAAATTGGTGAGTATGGGCTTTTTTATACTTCTGTATAATAATTGAATGATAAAGATATTTATAAATAGAAGTAAGTTCCATTTTGTGAACAACAAAACTTCAACATATTTAAAAGATAGCAAACCGAATTAAAAGAGATCAAAATTGTGGCATTCTATTACTCGAAACCTTTCAGGAGTCTTTTGGAAACATAAGTTCTTTAGAAGCCCTTTTTATGAATAAAGTACTTCCTAAGATTCTTCTTCTGTAGAAGGCGTTTTATTCTTGTTATAAATTGGAGATCCTTTTAAAATATTTTGATTGATAGACCATTTAATGGTCTTCCATAGATAGAAGACTATTTAAAGGCATATACAGATTAGACATTCAATAAAAGTTCTTCCATAATAATACAACCTTTTTGAGGTCTTCTTCAAATCGAAAACTTTCTGAATAGGGGACAATCAAAGGTCTATAGATAGAAAAACTTAGAAAATCGCTTACAAACAGAAATACTTTTTTGTAGACTTCTTTACATTGAAGTTCTATAAATGGCCTGCTGCAATAATCCGACCTCCGTGAGGTCTTTTATAAATCAAACATTTTCTGGATAGACCACAGACTATCAATTGACATTCGTAGATGAAGTGAAGTTCCATAACTGTTCTACTCCAATAATCCGACCTTTTGTAGGTCTTTCTTAAAACTTTTGGGCCTCCGATGGAAAGAAGACTCTCTTTTAAACCTAAAAGTTCCATGTTAGATCTTCCATAATAATCGAATCTTTTTAGGGGACTATATGAATCAACAACTTCCTGAATAGGTGACCATCAAAGGTCATCCATAGATTGAAGAACTTTCGAAAATCGCCTACAGACGGAAGAAGTTTTTTGCCGACTTCTTTACTATTAAGTTTCATAAATTGCCCGTTGCAATTATCCGACCTTTGTAAGGTCCTTTATAAATCAGACATTTTCGGGATAGACCACAGACTATCAATTGACATTCGTAAATAAACTGAAGTTTCAAAACTGTCCTACTCCAATAATCCGACCTTTTGTAGGTCTTCCTTAAATGTAAAACTTACGGGCCTCCGATAAAAAGAAGACTCCCACTTAAACATAAAAGTTACATGGTAGGTCTTCCATAATAATCGAATCTTTTTAGGGGACTAGATAAATCAGCTTCCTGAATAGGGAACCATCAAAAGTCATCCATAGATTGAAGAACTTTCGAAAATCGCCAGACCGAAGAAGTTGTTTGTAGACTTTTTTACATTGAATTTCCATAAATGGCCTGCTGCAATAATCCGTCTTTTTGAGGTCTTCTATATATCAAACATTTTCTGGATAGACCAACCACTTTCTAACAATTATCAGTCGTAGATGAACTTCTTCCAGACTTTGCATTGAAGTTCCATAATTGTCCTACTCCAATAATCCGACCTTTTGTAGGTCTTCCTTAAATCTAAAACTCTCGGAGTTCTCTCTAGAAATCAAAGGCGTATTTCCAAACTTCTTTTAATGGTTTTCCATAGAGATCATGGTTGATTTTCTCTAATAAACCGATCGCTTTTAAGGTCTTCCTTTTATAGAAAACTTTCTCTGTTCTTTTAAATAAATCTAAGGTTGTTTGAAAACTTTTTTTAAATGTTTTTCTAAAGTGATAGATGATAGACCATCAAAATGCCATCCATAAATGGAATGCCTTCCAAAAATTTTCTACAAATAGATGACATAGGTCTCATAAAAGAATCGACAATTAAAGCTTGCATAGACACCTTTTTAATTCATAGATGCAAGGCCCAAAATAAACAATCCTCCACAAATAGAAGATCTTTTAGTCGACTTTTATGCATTAAAGATCCATCATAGATGGTCTTTAGATATAACTCTACCTTTTTGAGATATTCTATAAATTGAAAAACTTCTTGTAGCTCTCTGAAAAGAATATAGAAACATAGATGATTTTTTGGTAAACCTTTTGGAAGTTTTTTTTTCTTTGAAAATTTAAAACCTTATGCTGACTTCTTTATATAAGCAGATTCAATTTAATGTTTTTATATAAAGAAAAGACTTTAAAAAAATACGCTATCGAATATTTTGATTCAATTTTTTCTAAAAAAATAGAAGATATCATTTTGGTAATTTCCTTGTAATTTGTAATTAAAATTAATTTTTTTCCTTTTCCAGATGTGTGGAGCGCCGGTTGTGTATTAGCTGAATTACTTTTGGGTCAACCCATATTCCCTGGCGACTCTGGTGTTGATCAGTTGGTTGAGGTTATCAAAGTTTTGGGCACACCTACACGAGAACAAATTCGTGAAATGAATCCCAACTATACGGAATTCAAATTTCCACAAATTAAAAGTCATCCATGGCAAAAAGTAAGTAAACCATATAAACATAAACTCTATATAGAAGCCTCATATACTCCCTACTATCATTTCCTTGGACCTTTCCCTAACGCTCAAAGAACAAAAAAAAAAACAAAACTTTGATTTGATAATTTTCATTATTGGGCTTTTTCTTCACTTAACCCCCTGCAAAATAAACTGCTGATTTTCTGTAAGCTTTTCTTCTCTAGATTAGTTGTAACAACAATTATTATTATTGTATTTGTCTTCTATTGTCTAATCTGTTGTTTTTCTTTATTATTTTGACAAAACAAAACAACAAAAAAAAACTATACGACCAAAACATCCACTATTTACAGTCTTTACTTGAACGTTCCCAATTTCCAAATGCCCTAAACCAGAAACAACGTTTAAGAGTAAGCTTCGTCAGGTGAAACGTACACTATTTACATGAACACAGGCTGCATCTACTCCTGCTCCTCCTTCTTCTCGACCACCAACACTTCTTGTATTCCATGGGGAAAGGGAGGAAAAAAACGCAGTGAATTGAAAATTACCAAACCTAAAAAAATTATAAAAAAACAATAAATCTTTAATTGGATCTTTTTTTTTTAATTTGACTCTAACCTTAAAAACAAATTGCGTTTTTTTTTAATTGGCCACCACAAACAAGCATCATCTTTGTTAAAAAAAAAAAAAAAACTCATCAATATCATAAATTTTGAAACCCACATTAAACACTTTTCTTTGGAGTTTGTGACAAACATACCACCCCACCCCCCGCTTAAAACAAAATGCTTGTGACAAAGCCAGAGTTTGTGTGTGTGTGTTTTTTCGCTAAATTGTGTTGTTGTTCTTGTCGTTTATGGCATTTGGCAAACTCAAGTTTTTGTTATTTTTGTTTCTATTTTTTTTTTTTGGTGGATCAACCGTTCTGCAGGACTGTAAATATATGCTTTTGATGCTTCAAAACAAAGTTTTTCTTTTTTTTTAAGGAAATGAGAATTTTTTCGTAAAACTAATACAAAATGCACAAGGAAATATATTTGAAATTGAGGGAAAAGGCTATGAAGCAATGAGAGATTTGTCTAAGGAAAAAAATTAAACAATTCGAAATAGCTTCTGCTTTACAAAAAAGACCTCTACTTATCTCTAATCTAAATGTCTTTTGGCATGAGACCTTCTAAACTTTGTTTGTGCATACAAATAAGGATACAATATAGATAAGCGAAGGCCCCGTCATGAATGTCTATGAAAATTGAAAGAAAATTTGAATTTCGAATATAAAACGCCCCTTACTTGAGTTCGTCTCTGAAAAGATTTTTTCCTGAGCTCGTCTATGGAATCAATCATCCCTCTTGAGGTCTTCTATGATTGTAAATTTAAATACTCCGTCCTCTTCACCTCTTGTGATTGTCAATGAAAATACTCCGTCCTCTTCAGCTCGTCTTTGAAAGGGCTCCCCCTCAAGTGCTTGGCTATGAGCTCGTCTATGAAAATATTCTCTCCAGAGCTCGTCTATGAAAATACTCTCTCCAGAGCTCGTCTATAAAAATAATCTCTCCAGAGCTCGTCTATGAAAATACTCTCTCCAGAGCTCGTCTATGAAAATGCACTCTCTTTAGTCTATAAAAATGCTCCTCCCTTGAGCTCCCCTTATGAAAATATTCCTCCCTCTTAAGCTTTTCTATGAAAATACACCTCCCCTTTGAGCTCGTCAATGAAATTTTCAATTTCGAATAAAAAACGTCCCTCTCTTGAGTTCGTCTCTGTAAAGGTTACATCCTGAGCTCGTCTATGGAAACAATTATCCCTCTTGAGGTCATTTATGAAAAGACTCCTCCTGAACAAGCTGAAATGTTAATAAAATTAACCTTCCTCTTTAGCTCGTCTATGAAAGGACTCCTCCTCGAGTGCTTGTCAATGAGCTCGTCTATGGAAATACTCCCTACAGAGCTCGTCTAAGAAAATACTCTCTCCACAGTCCGTCTATGAAAATACTCGCTTTGGAGCTCCTCTTTGAAAATACTCCTACCTTCTGAGCTCCCCTATGAAAAACTCCTCCCTCTTGACCTTTTCTATGAAAACACACTTCCCCTTTGAGCTCGTCTATATAGACTCCTAGCTCTTGTGCTCGTCTGCAAAAAGTATATTTTCTCTTGAGCTTGTCTATAAGAAGTCTCCCTTACGAACTCATCGTCTACATATAGATATCCTTATCAAAAGAGCTGCCTCATGAAATTCTCGATTTCCCAAGAGCTATTCATTCACAAAAAGAGGCACACGTCTAAAAAAATGACTTTTCATAAAATCATCTCTACCAAGAGTTCCATTTCCTAAAAATACTTCCTCCTGCTAAATCAGGTATATAAGCACATTTAAATATCCTCTTTTTAAATCGTCCTTATTTTCTACCCCAACACCTCTTCCGTCTACATATATATCTCTTTATAAAAAGAGCTGCCTTATGAAATTCTCGATCTCCCAAGAGCTCTTCATACACAAAAAGAGGTCCCCGTCTGAAAAAGGACTTTTCATAAAAGCTACCATGAGCTCCATGTCTTAAAAATTCTTCCTCCTGCTAGATCAGGTATATAAGCTCATATAAATGTCCTCTTTTTAGATTGCCTTATTTGTTTTCTCCAACACCTCTTCCGTCTACATATAGATCTCCCTATAAAAAGAGCTGCCTCATGGGATTCTTAATTTCTAAGAGCTCTTCATTCACAGAAAAAGGAACACATCTAAAAAAAGGAATTTTCATAAAATCTTCTCTACCATGAACTCCATACCTTAAAAATACTTCCTCCCGCTAGATCAGTTATATAAGCTCATATAAATATCCTCTTTTTAGATAGTCCTTTTTTCTACCTTGAGCTCATGTCTTAAAAATGCTTCCCCCTGCTAGGTTAGGTATATAAGGAAGATCGTCCTTATTTTCTACTCCAACACCTCTTCCTCCGATTCTCAACAAAACACTGCCATGTGGAGACCTCTCCTTTTTAAGTTTTCCTTTTCTCTCTCACTTCTCTATTTCCTTTTCTTTTAATATGTGTAAATATATGTAAAGGATTTTTTTATTATTGGCCTTGTTCTAGAAACGTCTTACAACACCCCCTTCGTTCCTGATATCCTAACATCTCACATCCCAAAATCCATACTAATTTAATACTAATTTTTATAAACCCCCATCAACAATCCCACTTCCTGCGTTTTTTTTTTTTAAACGATTTTTGCATCCCCCCTTTCCGTTTTCTATTTTGAAACAACGAAAATCTCGAAATGCAACCAACAAAAAATGTCCATTTATTGTCTGTTCTTTAGGTTTTCCGTATACGCACTCCACCAGAAGCTATCAATTTGGTATCGCAACTTTTGGAATACACACCAAGTGCACGTATAACACCATTGAAAGCATGCGCCCATCCATTCTTCGATGAATTGCGTCAGGAGGTTAATCATACATTACCAAATGGCCGGGAGATGCCACCACTTTTCAATTTTACAGAACATGGTAAGTTGTTAGCGTTTTTGAGGTTATCTTTTCACTTGAAATAATTAATTGGTTTTTTTTTGTGTGTTTCCAGAACTTTCAATACAACCAAGTTTAATACCACAATTGTTGCCAAAACATCTGCAAAATAGCGCACACCGTACTGCTGGCGCCGGCGGTGAAGGCGGTGGTGCAACAGCTTCAGCTGCTGCTGGTTCATCCTCAGCTAATGCCACAAGTGCTGCTGCCACGGCCAATAATACCACGCCGGGATCTTCAGCGCAAGCAGCTACAGGTTAGTTATCAACATTCATTCTCTGTTTATTGTTTCCTCCATTATTATTCCCATTATTCGTTGTTTACTTTTAAACGGATTCCACCCACAATAACCTCAAAATTCAAAAATAGACATTTAAAAAAAAAAACAATATTTATTTCCAAACTTGGCATGCTTCTTTTACTTCCATATTGTCATATTTGTGTCTGTGTTTCTAACATAATTGGTGTTTGGTTTATTTTTGTTATTTAAATACTAATTTTCCAATTTTTTTATAAGAAACTGTCGAAAGGAGTAGGAGATGTATTGTTGGTTTTTATTAAGAAATTTCAAGATAAAGTTTTTTATAACGAAAAAGTTACTCCTGTACCCTAAAGGCGCTCTAAAGATCTAATATACAGGGTGATATAAAAAACTGCAACGAAGTCAAACCCATAATTTTTACATTTTTTTTATTTTATTGAATGAAAGCCAAAAATGTCGGAAATAGCATCAAATTTTAGAATGAGTTTAGATTTGTTCGAATTGGTCAATTTTTACACGAATTATGGCCATCAAGCTGTAAATTAAACCGTCACACGCTACACGAATGTTGCTCTGCGGTATTTTGGTTCCTGGTGAAACGCTTGCTTCAGGTGATTGATACTTTGGTATTTTTAGTGTCAACCTTGCTTTCCAAAATACTTCAGACACAATAGTCCAGCGGATTGGTATTTGGAGGTGCTGAGTTCTGTTGGAATGTCCAAGGTCTGCGGTCAAAATGTTTGCGTGTCCAAGGCTTTAATACTCCCTCCAGAATATTTTCGCTATAATATTCGTCATTTATTTTGATGCCACGATCGATTAATACGAGCGGAGAGCGACCATCGGCTGTTATGGCGGCCCACACCATCACCATGGCCGGCGCTTGAGTTCTGGTGGCCAACCGAAGGTGTACATTTTCAGCTGACTTGACCTCTTTTGCATAGTAAACACGATCATTTTGATTGTTTACAAATTGCTGGACAACGAATGTTTTTTCATCGGAGAAACCCAAATTCGGCACTTCACCACTTTCGGCCAAGCGAAAGTTAGGAGATCCTCTTGAAAAGACTTCTTCTTGAGATCCTTTTAAAACTGCTCTATGGAAAAGACTACCTCTAGAACTTGACTAAATAAAATGCTCTCATAAGATTGAATCTATTTAACAACTCACTTTACAGGTGTCTATTAAAGAATCCCTTAGAGTTCGCAAAAAAATGTATTCTCTAGAGCTTGTCTGTATAAAAGCTTCATCTGATACTTCTCCATATGAAAAATCCCTCAGGAACTCGTCCATTATATCAAATATCACTTTAAAGACCTCCATCTGAAGCTGGTCAGTAAGAAAAGGAAATAAAGACTCCCTCTTGAGGTGTTTTATATAAAAGACTGAATAGAAAAAAGTTTTTCAGAAAAATATCATGGCCCAAAAAAATATAGCATTTTTCCTATGAAACAATCGTAGTCCTACTGGCCTGTGGATTTTTTTTCTTTAGAATTGCTCAATACCACGGAGCCATAGATTTTTTTATAGTTCTTACCATGGGAAGATGTGTTTTTTTTTTTTTTTTCAACAAAAATCGAAACCCAAGGGCAGTTTCATAGAAGAGCATAGTTTCAATCTTTTAGGGAATCGAATAATATTTATTTCTGATTGTTCTTGAAGAGTCCTTCAATTCAAGACGTCCTTCATTTATACAGCTAGAAATATTCCCATTATCCTCAAAACATCTTACCCCATGTGAGGTCCAAGTATCCACGAAAAGGTTATGCCCTGCTAATATATATATTTTATTTTAAAATTAGGCTCTTTTTATCCTTTCAAATCCTCCTCCTCCTTTCGCCAGTTTGTTGTGTTTTTATATTTGCTTCTGTTGTAAAACATTTTGTTGTATTGCTCGCATGCTTTGTTATGTTGTAAAAATTCATAAATTAAAAAAAAATATATATTAATTTTATTGTTAAAGTTTTTATATTTATAAAAATACAAAAACAAAAAACACGCAACACACACCTTTTATTTCGTTTTTTCATTTTCTTTTCTTTAAGTTCATATTTTATTGTTGCGTTACTTTATTTTCTCTTTTGTTCAAAGCATTTTATTTAGTATTTTTAGTAAAACAAAAAAACAAAAATATCCTTTTTATATGTGTGTTTATTTTATTTTCTTTTTTGTATCTTTTTTTCTTTCTTAATTCTTTTGCAGATTCATAGTGGCATAAATAATTTAAAAAACAAATCTATATAAATATTCAAAACAAACCGAAAAAAAAAATTAAATAAAACAAAACAAATTTATAGTTCTCTACCACACAACTTTTTTTCTATACGTTATTATAAAACTTTATAATAAAAAAAAACATTAAACAAAATATTATTTATATAAACAAATATATATATAATCAACTTAAAGAAGGATATCACATGAAGAGAAACAGACAGACAACAGCAATCAATTAATTTAAAATAAATAAAATATCGTATTTTTAAATTCATTAAAAAAAACAAAAAACAAAAAACAATTACATAAATATGCAAAGATAGAGAGAGAATAAACTCTAGTTTTTTTAGCTTTACTTATTATTTTTTGGTCTTGTAATTTTTTAGTTTTTCTTCACCCTTTCACTATGGCTTTTTTTATTGTTTGTGTAACTATTTTTTATTACTAGATTTCCTTATTATTATTTTTGTATTTTTTATATAAAAAAATATATATAAATTAAAATGAGAAAGAAAAGTTCCCAATGATGATGGAGACAATATAACACAAAAAAACTAACTTTATTAAATACATTTGAAAAAAATATCTATTTTGTTTAAACTATGAATCAGTAAATACAACCTTTAACTTTGCTCAGTCAATATATTTTGACATCCCCTTAGTTATTTAAAAAACCCCAAATTAAGTCCCCAGTATTTCCATTCAATTCAAAATGAAATCTTTGCCACATCTCTTAACTTGTCTCTACAATTTTTTCCTCTTAATTATTTTCTTTCTCTCTCCCTCTCCCTCTGCCACGGCCTTATTCTCTCTTTGTAAAGTCATTGAAGAGTAAATGCTCCAAGTTTTTTCTTTCTTTATAGCCTTAATATGTTTAAAAAAATTGTTTAATTTTCAAGCTTTAGTTCTTTTTTTACCATATATATAATATATAAATATTTTTATATACAATACCTATGTTAAACTGCAAAGAAAACAACAACAAAAACTCCTTACCACCTTCTCCCTTTTATTTTAATTATTTCTTTTATTGTTAAACAACAACAAAAAACTTACCCCTACCCCAACCCAATCCAACCCCCTTATTTTTTCACCATCATCTTAACTTCGTTAAAGAAAAAATGCTTTAATTTTAGTTTAAATTCTTATAAAAAAAAACAAACATAATAATTAAAACAAAAAAACAAACAATTATATTTAAAAATACAAACAAACGAGAAAATCAATAAATAAAATTAATTATAATTTAAAATTAACAAAAAAAAATTATATGTTTTTATTTTTTCTACTACCTACGTTTTTTTTAAATGATCAAAAATATAAGAAAACATCATGGGAAATAAATTTAACATAACAGCATATTGAAGAGCAGGGATTGAAAAAAAATCGAAAAAACATTATCCTGATGCCAGTTTTGAAACTTTTAGGTGGTCTGTCTTGTCCTTTTTTAAGAAGAGTTTAATTGGTGACTCTCTGAAAGTATGGTATGGTGACATGATAAATTAAAATAAATTATTTGAATATATTAAAAATATATATTAAAAAATGAAAAAAAAAAAAAACAATTGAAAGTCATAAATAAAAAATAAGATAAATTTAGTTATTAACTTAAACAACCTAATAAAAAACAAACATAAATGAATTAAAAAAAAATAATAATATAAATAAACAAACAAATAGTAAAAAGGCAAATAATAAAGAAAAAAGAATTTTGTTGTTGCAAAATTGTCGGGCACAATCCAGTATTCTTGTTTAAAAAAACAACGTTTGTTTATACCAAGGTTTCGGAAAGAGCTACCAATCTTCGTCAGTTCCCTTGTCTTTTATCTGGGATATTCTGCCCAAGAGTTATTTTAAAAATAACTCCTATGACAAAAAACTTTTTTGCAACGCAAGTGACGAAAAAATAAATAACTAATTCATACATGCTTACGTAAATAATTATAAATAATAAATTACAATTATAAATAATATTGAAAAAAGAAATAAATTTATGAATGAAATAGTAAAAGAATAAATATAAAATAAATACATAAAATAACTAAAGAAATAAATAATAATACTCAAAAAATTATTTGATTAATAAATACATAAATAAAAAATAATAACCAAATAATAAAAAAATAAATTTATTTAGAAATAAATCAAATATTATTATTAAAAATATGAAAAAAATTCATAAGTAAATTAAGGAAATTCCTGATAATAATTTAACAAATAACAACGAATGTTTTCCCAAAGAAGAAACCCAAATTCGGCAGTTCACCACCTTCGGCCAAGCGAAGCAACTCTTTAGCTCTTTTGAGTCTATTTTCTTTCTGTCCGGTGTAAGTTCTTGCGCTTTTGGAATTTCAGTGGCTTTACCTCGAGCTCATTTTTCAATATTTGCCGAATGGAATATTGCGATATGTTCAGCTCACGAGCCATTTTCGGCCACTGCGACGCGGGTTTCGATGAAGTCGCCTTTCGAACCATTTCTGCTGATGTTGCTGTTTTTTTGCATCCACTTCCTTGACGTCGGGCTACGTTACCAGTATCACGGTAACGAGTGATGGTACGGGACACAAAAGATTTATTCATATTTAAATGCTGGAGTGTTCTAACGATAGCCACTTGTGGTTTTCCAGCCAAATATAAAGAAATCACACTATCACGCTTGAATTCCATCACGAATAATTTTTTTCTAACCAAAATGCTTTTTTTTACGCTTGTAAACAATATACTGAGCTGTCACTGGAGTGATTTTAACATCTGTCGCTTAGAAATGACAGCAGTCTGAAGTTGGTTGCCATTTTTTCATCTCACCCTGTAATATATATTGCAAACTTATTCTTTTTTATTTATTTATTTTCTTTTTCTATTGTTCGATCCCCATAGTTGACTCAAACAACACAAATTTTTAACATAACCTAACACTTATTAAGAACGTTTTGAACTACCTTCACATCTTGTGTTAATGATCTCAGTATTGAATCCGTATTTGTTATTTCGAATGAGATTTTAGAGCCAATTTGAGAGCCTGATAATAGGTTCTATTCACAGCCAAAAATTATAATAATAATTATAACAACAAACAAGCGCGCTTATATAAGTTTAAACATTTAGACAGCCAGGGTTTCAACTGTATTGGGGTGATTAGATTTACCCTCTCTGCTTGAGACAATTACATGTGGGCCAGAATTTTCTGATTATTTACAATTCGTCTCCTAAAAAGAGACAGCATTCAAATTTCGAGGCAATAGTTCTTCTCGCTATAAGAAGATGCAGATTGTCTTTTTTGTGACCGATCGAACTAGTGGCTGCTTTTATTTCTCCGTTAATTTATTATTAAATGTCTGACGAGCAAATGTTGTACAATCCTAAAGAAGGTGTTGTATTTTGAACCAAACCTGAACAAGAGATCCCATTTATAGACTAACTTTTGAAGGTTTTCTTTTTTCTACACGCAAAAAAACTTCAATGTTTTTATTACCAGAGCAGAAATTTGTAAGAAAATTCTGGCCTGTAAACTTACCTTTCTACATTTAAAACTTATGAAATGTATTTTATGTCTACACAACTAAGAAAACATGTTCTGGCTTCGGGGGATCTGTAGCAGAAATTTTCAAGAAAATGTCATATTTTTAGTAATTTTAGGGGATTTTCTTTACCACCGGGTTTTTAGGCATATGAAGTAAGTATTGCTCCTAAAACCATTTCCAATGTTAGTGAATAACTTGACAACCATGATGTTTTCTTTTCAAAAAAAACAAGGTTTAATTTTTGAATTTTATTTTTGTACATTCTAATAAATTGCTTTAATTGTGTATGTGTGTGTGCGTGTTTTGCTGTATAAACCGTAATAAAAAAATAATTATATAAAAATATTTCCCTTTTGGTCGTGGTTTAGTTTTGACTTTTCTGTTGGTAATTGGCTATAACTTCTGTAGAATACCCCACTTTCCTTAGAAAAAATGTGATTATTGTTTATTTTTTTTTTTATTTGCAAAATCCCTTTTATCCCAGCATGTATAATCAGTTAATAATTATTTTGTTAAATAAAATAGTCGTGGAAATTTTTTTAGGCTACAAAAAAAATTAAAAACATTTTTGAATTCAATTCAAAATAGGCTTCTTAGTCATTTAAGGTGATGATGAAAAAGCTGTTTGTCGTCATAGTATTTCATATTAATGGATTAAATAAAGGATTCGGTTCAGCTCTGACATGCCAAGTTGTTAGATAAAAAAAACTGCAACAACGTCAAATGCCATCATTTTTATATATATTTTTTTTTAATTTTATTGGATGAAAGCGAAGAAAAATGTCGGAAATAAAATCAAATTTTAGAATAAGTTTAAGATTTGTTCGAATTGTTCACCTTTGGCACGAATTATGGCCTCCAAACGGCCAATGAACTGTCACATGCTGCCCGAATGTTGCTCTGCGGTATTTTGGCCACCAGAACTCAAGCGCCGGCCATGGTGATGTAGGCCGCCATAACAGCCGAAAGTGGCATCAGAATAAATGCCGAGTATTATAGCGAAAATATTCTGGAGGGTGTATTAAAGCCTTCGGCACGCAAACATTTTGGCTGCAGACCTTCGAAATTCCAACAGGACTCAGCACCATCATCGCACTCAACACGCGCCACCCAAGAATGGCTTCAAAATGAGGTTCCTCGCTTCATTTCCAGCACATAATGGCCACCAAAATCTTCGGATACAAATCGGTTGGACTATTGTGTCTGGTGTATTTTCGAAACAAGGTTGACACTAAAGAATACCAAAGTGTCGATCATCTCAAGTAAGCGCTTCGCCGGGAATGGGCCAAAATACCGCAGAGCAACATTCGGGGAGCCTATGATAGTTTCATTGGCGGTTTGAAGGCCATAATTCGTGATCCAACTCGAACAAATCTAAACTTATTCCAAAATTTGATGCTATTTCCGATTTTTTTGCTTTCATTCAATTAAATTTAAAAAAATGTAAAAATTATGGCGTTTGACTTTGTTGTAGTTTTTTTATCTCACCCTGTATTCTTACTAACTATTATTCTAGTCTAGTCGAGATCTGATATTCAGTATCTTAAAAAATCACAGCCAGTTTTTTTATAACTCCGCCTTCGGAAAATATTTTTCCATAACCTCAATTTTTTTCCTACAAATCCGGAAATATTTAAATTTTGTAGAAAGTCTCCTCCAGGACCTGTTCAATGTATTCTATAAACAATTAGTCTACTCTGGCCGAAAAAAACATCCAAAATCTGATTTTTGTATCTTCCAAAACCCCACCTCCTGTAAATGAAAATATTTCCCCTAACCTCAATTTTTTGATAATATATTTTAAAAAGGGCTTTTCTTCGAAAAAAACCCCAAATCCTTACAACAAATAATTACAAATATTAATATTCACTTTGTGTAGTATTGAGCTTTTCTTTGACACCTTTCATATTCTAACTTTAGCATGTCCTTGGAATTTGAATATTGTTTATAACCAAAATTATTTGGAATCAGAATCCTCCCCTCTCCCCTTTTTCAAAAAAAAAAAAAAAAAAAAGAAACACAACACATAAAACATTTTTCTCTTTTTGTTCTTTTTTTTCAAACTCAGGTTCACAATCCTCGTCGGCGGGTAATGCAACAAATGCCTCAACATCGGGTACGTCCAGTAATAATAATGCTGCCGCAGCATCCAGTACCAGCAGTGGTGGTAATGGTGGTTCACAAACGCCTGGTGGCAGCTCTTCGGCGGCTCCACAAACCGATTCACAGGCCAACACGGAGAATGCCTCATCCACGGGAGCAGCAGCAGCCGCTGGCAATTCAGCTGCTGCCAGCAGCACAGGTGGCACACAGACACAACAGTCAGCGACGACAATGGGTTAGCGAGATTAAACCAACAACATTACAACCTATATTCATACAATAATAATAACAACAACAAATACAACAACATTATCATCAAGAACAACAGCAAAAACAACAATGTGTGACAAGGAAAAAACAGACGTCGCCAAGGGCGTTACAAGTTAACATCAGATCAGATTTGCTGTTTTGCTGCTGCTACTGCTGTTATCGATTCATCCTCTAACTTACTTCCTCCCTGTCCCCCCTTGTCTCCCCCCCTCTTCCAACTCCCTGCAGATGATTGGTGGTTAGGTGGCAATGAAACAAATAAAATAAAAAAAAACAAAAACAAGAGATGACAAACAATTGCAATGAGGCAATTTTTCTTCTTTAACAAAAAAAAAACAACAACAAAAACAAAAATATATATTTAACAAATAATTAATTACTATTATTATTATGATTATTATTATTATATTATATTATTATTTTTTTAAAAATGATTAAACTAATTCGATGATATATAAACAAAACGGTAAACCAACAACAAAGAACAATTTATATATGAAAACAACAACAACAACAAGAAATTATAAAAATTTATAATTAAAATTATCCGAAAAGAAAGGAAAAAAAATTAACAATAATAATAATAACAAAAAAAGAGAAACAACAACAAAAATCACTTTAAATAAAATTAAAGAAAAAAAGAAAAACTCAAATCGAAATCATCAAAAAACTCAATAGCAAAAAACGCCCTTAAATTTTCTTTTTTTCCGAGGTTGGACAGTCAGCCTCTCTTGTTTCCCCCCTCCCCCTTCTCCTCACTTTTTATTTCTTATGTGGTCATAGGTTAAATAGCAAACAACAAGAAAACATATTTAGAGAAAAGAAAAAGAAAAACAAAACCTATTAAAAGTAATGCAACTCATAATTTAATTATTTATATAATTATTATATAAATAGTAAATAAATTAAAAAAAAATAAGAAAAATTAAAAAAAAAACCTACAAAACTAAAACAAAATCATTAGTAAGGATTCTTCATTTACGACATCATCGTAGTACTCTACAGCATAAGAAACTTAAAATACATAGCTTCTCATTTAAATGTTAAAACAAAACAAAAATATAACTAAAATTTATTAATAAAAGCCAATATTTCCCTTAAAAAAAAAAAACAAAAACACAAAAAATTTCAAAATTGTTGTAAACTATTTTATTTCGTACTCTACCACCTCTACTGTAAGTCTACATTATGGTTTGTAATGCAATAAAACAAAGAAACTGTGGTTTGTTTTTCAAAATTTAGAAAAAAAAACGTCTGTGCAGAATCAAAAAGCTTTAAATCATTTCTGACTCGCTCTCTATCTCTGAAAAATATGATGATTGTGTCCTCCTCCTCCCATATGAGAAGAAAAAATGCAAAATGGAAAATATAAAATAAACAAATAAAACAAGCATTTTTAGTTTTAACCAAAACAACAACAAAAAATGTATCAATCATTCTCTGTTCAAGCTACAAAAAAAGAGGACCAGGGTATCAATGTTTCGTCCTGTGAAAATGGGAAATGAAAACTTATCACCTTATTAAGACAGCAGATGTAAAATAAAGGAAATGTTTATCATTTCATATTTCCATAGGTCTAGTCTCTGGAAACGGATTTGGAAGTTATATCAGCAATTATTTCATGCAGTTTTCCATAATCAAGTCTTGTCTTAATCGGTGTAATTAGATGTGCCTACCACGGGATAAACAAAGTTCGAGGTGTCCAGGATGATGGGATTCTTTTAGGATAACTGAAAGAAATCCATTGGCACTTAACTGAAAACCGTTGATTGTAAAATTGAGAGCTACAGGGTCCGCCAAATTAATTTTTCATTTGAAAATGATATAAAAACAAACTACTGAATATTTTTCTCAAAATCATATTCTTATTTGAAAGTACAATCCTTGCGGCTGATAATGAAAATAAACTTATTTAAATGACTGCCAGGGTCGAAATTGCAGTGGCATAAACGATCGGTCTAATTTTTAAGCAAATTATTTACTGTGTGCCGCTGTATTTCACCAATTGCTTCACGAGTATTGTCCTTTAAAGTGTCGATTGTCTCCAGCTTATCGTCGTAACACTTATCTTTGACGGCACCCCGCAAATAATAGTCCAATGGTGTCACATTGCAGCTCCAATGGTGGCCAAATTTCAGCTCCGAGGTGGACTCAGCTCTGCGGCGATTTTCAACAACAGGGTGCAAAACTTTCGAAGTAAAGTCGCAACGTTGCTCAAGCGTATGCACAACCATACGCGGCTCCGTTGTGGTCCGCCAACTCAATGGAAAAGTATTCAGTCCTGTCAGAATGTCGCCCTTAGAACCGCAACAGGGTGCCTATCAACGTCTGGTGGATAGGCAACATCCGCTCAGGCACGTAGAAAAAGACCTTAATGATATAGACAAAAAGGTTAAAAGGTATAAGAGGGAGCCTCTATACCAATTGGCCTATCAAGCAGTACTGAATAGTATTCACTCTGACGCGCTTTCAGAAGTCATGGAAGGATATAAAGTGAATACTGTACCAGAAGACCATTCCCATTCCATCGCAGCTGAAGAGCGAGAGCTGCCCCAACAAACGCGAGTAGTTTTGACACATTTAAGATCCGGATGGTGCAGCCACTTCAATTCCTATTGGGACCGGATTGACAGCGATGTGCAGAACATCTGCCCAGCTTGTGGCACAGGTCCACATGACACGCTGCACCTATGCCCAGCCAATCCCACTCAACTAACTCCAGTGTCGTAGTGGACCCAACCCGAACAGTTTGCGTCCTTTTTGAGACTTTTTGAAGCAAAACCCGATTGAGAGGATGCAGAATGAACACAGCAGTATGAGCTGATACAACAACAACCATATTCATATTTGGAAGAATAAAACTAACTTTCAAACCAAACGTGAGCTACGAGTTGTTTCACGAAATAAGCAGTAGCACTGAGAAAAAAACATTTAATGGCAGACCCTGTACAAAAGTTAAGAGGCAGAGGTTATGAAACAATTTATTATTTTAATAATCTAAATTATAGAAAATGTTATATAACTTGAGGATTGTACGAAATAAAATTGATAAAATTCCGGCCATTTAAATAAGATTTACAAAAGCCAATTGACCGAGTTTCTGCCTTAAAACACATGAACGTAAAAAGCAAAAATTTGGCATAGGTAAATAATTTAACATATTTTGTAAGGATAGTTAGTCCTATAAGAATTCGTGTTTATAAAATTTCTAAATTTATAGGTTTGGTAGATTAGTTATCCGGCAACGGTTGCTTCGGGTTCTGGTGAAGGAAATTGGGGCAAAAGAATAACTATGTAAGCTACCGAAAAATTAAATTTTGAAGTTTGGATTAATATATCGCTCTTGCCAAATAGTCGGTGTCTCCTGTTGTTCAGCATAGGACATATAAAAAGTTCATATTCAACAATTTTAGTTTTTTTTTTTTCACATAGTTAGAAGTGTTCCACACCACTATTCTCATCCCGAAACCCTATTAAAACTTACAAACAAAATAAAGAGAGCAAACAGAAATATCTCGTTCTCTAATTTGGACAGATAATAAATAGTAGAATTGGCAGAAATGTGGATTTGGAAGAATCTAATTTGGGATTTTTACAAGTTTTCCGTCCCCGTACTTTCTTTACTTGTTTTTCATTAAACAAGAACGGGAACCCATCAATAGTTTTTTTTCCTGTTAATTATGCCAGAGTTACTCTTGGATTGTTGGCATTTCCAAGATTGATTAAAATTTTTTAGTAATATATTTGGAACGACTTTCAATATTTAAAGATTTTTTGGATTTTTTTTAATAAAATGTATGCAAACTGATACTCAGCTAAGTAATATTATATGATTTTGACTTTATTTGCTCAATTGTCTTAAATGTGTGGTTAAGAATAATATAAGCTTTACATTTTTTCAAACAGTGTAAAGACAAAAAATTGTCTTCTTCCAAAATCATTTTTGGTTAAGTTTGATAATGCAATTAAGTAGGTATAAATCATTTGGGGGCTAGGTTATAATAGTATTTATATATTCCAAGTTGAAAAGTAAAGAAATAGAGTCGAAAGGGAATAATGTTGTAGAAATAGGCTCTACAGTCAGTCAGTTACCAAATAAGTATCATGTTTCGGATTGAAACCAGATTTTGTTGTAGTCTTTGCATCAAAATGCAATTCATATGGTCATGCCCTACCTGAACACATACATTGTAGAGACGAACCGTTTTACAAGTAGGCCTATCTGTATTTGGTCATTCGCGCCAAAATTTATTTTAATCGGACGAACATTGATACAGTCACCCTGGTGCTAGTGGAAAATCTTAACGGCCAGAGTTGAATATGAGAGGTATATTTAAATACGAAATTCATGTTCATTTTGCCAAAATATTCTAGGCTGATGCTTTAGCCTTCATTACGGCTTTGAGTAGGTTAGGTTAAATGATGCGCGGTTGTATAAACAACCACTCCACTCGGAGACCTATTGGTCCATTGTATTCATCCAATTTTAAGAAGATAGGAGAATAGAATAGAGAGAAGAGAAGAGAAGGAAATGAATAGCGGATAGTGAAGAAGCGAGAATCTGAATAAAGAGTAGAGAAGTTAGTAGATCTGCATCCACGGTGTATCAGCGTGTCGTCCTTAGCCATTTTAGTCTTCTGGCTAACTGAAGAATAATGTTGGGGAGGTGGAATAAGTCTGGCAGAATTTGCTTACCCAGTAGCCTATGACTCACTCCTATAAGAGTTGGACAGTGGCAGAAAAAGTGCTCCACCGTCTCAGTTTCTTCCTCGTCCTGACAAAGCCTGCAGTATTCAGTGCCGTTTAAAATTATGGATTTGAAGTTCGTAATGAATACTACAGCCTATGACAGAAAATTGTCTGTGCAGGTCCAAGTCTTCTTATAGCCCCCATATAACGGTAACTCCCGATATTCGGTATTTTGATGATTTTAGCGACAATATTCACCGTTCGTCGTTTAGACCCCAATATAACGGCTATATATTTGGTATTTTTTAAGATTTTAACAGAATTTTTAAAGGATTTTACTTTTTAATATTGCCAAATCCGTTCCAAATTGTTGAGGATATTAAAAGTTCCTCCCGGCCAACCTTACTGCTTTTTTATTTGTTATAAATAAATAATAAATAAATGATTTCCCAAAATTTTAAAAACGAAATGATTTAAAAAGGCAAAAAATCTTAATCTTTGGCAAATTTTTTCAATCAACAAAAATCGATATATCCCAAATATAATGATGACACGAAGTGTTAATAAGTTGCTACTTCAAAGAAATGTTGGACTTCTTTGAGACGCCTGAAAGTATGCTTTATTTTTTAATTGGCTTCTTAATATTCCGTGCATGGCGTGTGCGAAATACACCAGCCTGGTAGGAAAAGATTAATATTAAATAAGAAACTACAATTTTTAATTATTTAATCCACTTTGAAGGGTATTCGACCTATTAATCTTTGTTTTTTTTTTCAATTAATTCACAATAAAGATAAATATCTCAAATGTAATACTGACACAAAGTGTAAATGAGTTGCTACTTCAAACAAATGTTGGACTTCTTTGAGACGCCTGAAAGCATGCTTTACATATTTAATTGGCATGGTCATCTAAATATTCCGTGCATGGCGTGTGTGGAACACACCAGCTGGGTAGAAAAGATTAATATTTATTTCATTTCATTTCATTTATTTACCTTACAAAGAAATATAAATAAGCCCACAGGGCCCATAACTTATATTATCTATCTACAATACCCTAACATAATACAAATTGAATGATTAATTCAAACTTAACAAATAACATATTAAACCTAATAATTTATCTTAATAATTCACGAGAAGCTCGAACCCTACACCTCGATTCACCATCACCAACTAAACAATAGTCTAGTAGAGCAGTGAAAAAGTGTAGCAGAAACGAGCTAAAAATAAGAGATAACTATTTTATTACTCACAAAACAGAGTATAAATAGTAACTCACATTATACCCTACAAATAAAATTAAGAAGATAATATAGTGGCTCCCCAGCCCAAACAAAAAGAAAAGCAAAAAGAAAGACCCATAATAAACCGACGCAACCACTACAAAAACATAGCCTACATATTTAGGCGAAGGTATTCAATTACTTTAACCCTAAACAGATAATTGGTATGGGCAAAAGTACGTAAGGCCAAAGGAAGCTGATTCCACAATCTCACCGCCCTAACCACAAATGATCTCTCACCAATGGAGGACGAAAACCTTGGACACAACAATTGAGGATTTCGAGATGATCTACAAAACAAAAAGTTGTCACGAAGAGGACAGTCAAAATTGCACATAACACTGTAATGAAATTGAAGAATACGAAGATCAATGTAGCTGCTAAATGGCAATCCCAGGAGATCATTAACAAAA